GCTCGAAAATTTGATCATAGAGTATCGTGGTAGTAATACGACCACCACTTTATCCGTGCTATCAGATGGCCAGTGATTGGTGGCATTTTGCCATAAACGCTATCATCGTGACTATGTTGTGGTGATACTCTTCACAAGGGAGTGTTTCCTGTTCTCTGTGTACAGTGTCTGGTACTTTGTGAATCACAAATTGTGATCGTGCATAGGGAGAATGACTTTCCATGTACTTAGGAAAACGAGTAGGGGGTGAGACTTGCTCAATACACTGTATTGAATACAGAATTGATACGCCTTGTCGGCACAGTGAGGTAGCGATGGGAGGTGGTCCACAGAGATTGTAGGAGTCATAAATTCGTGTAGTATCACCATGAGCGGCTCACCAATTATGCCGCGGGTGTGTTTCCTAAAAATAAGTTTACAGTAGTCGTCGAGAAAGGTCAACGACGGACAGACTGTCTTATGTAGGAATAGGATTGAACTGACTCGTAGCGCACGCCCGGAGCTAGTGAACTGAAGCAGGAACAGTGCTTTGCGATATCTTCTCGCCCCTTACTGCTCGATCCTTCGTCATGACGTCGAAGGGCTCGGTCATTGACTGTCTGTGTGACTACCCTGCTTGCAGCGGCGCCTAAGAATTGTGGAGCTTTAGCTTCCTAGATTCTCCTAGATTTTTCTAGACTCTTCCAGTGGAAGAATTAACTGGTATCAATGTCGGCAACGGAACAGCAAGACAGTTGTCCTCCGGCCAGTATAAATATACATTACATGTGATGACCGCGTTGCGATTAGACTACCACGGTATTGATGGTCTATCAATACCCGGTGATAGTATCACCCGGTTTTCGTCCTCTTGCTGAACTAGAGAACGCAATAACAAACTCGTTGGATAATACCAAACAGATCCGTTGTTGATAACTCGGATTAAATGCGATCGGCAACATTCTTTGAGTTGCCAGTAGCGCTGGGCTTAAGAGTTGGATAAAAGGCAGAGGGATAAGTGACCACTATGCGATAGAATTCCCTATCGAGTGTGAAGTCAAATGTGAGCAGCTCGATGCGTTTAGCGTCTCAAAATGGGATAATCGATCGCCATATTGACAGCTTTTAGCGGGTTCAGAGCTCCGGCATGCTTCCTCATGGGCCTCGATGGGCTATTGAATCGATCAACGTTATGGGTGAGTATCCCAGCAACGTACTTTGGCTTAACGCCCATAGAAAGCAAGATCGCGGCTGCTCCAGAGACGATAGGACAGGCGAAAGATGTGCCCGAGGAAAATCTGTTAGCACCGGTGTAGATTTCAGAGCCGTAGGCAGCTATATCGACGTTATCACCGTAGTTGCTAGAACCAGCCATTTCAAGAGTGTCCTGGTTCCTGAGAGCACCCACACAGATCACGCGTGGTAGTAGGCAGGGATAGAATGTGTCAGCCCGCTGTCCATTGTTACCAGCGGCGGCGACAACAATGATATTCTGGCCAGTTGCTGCTTTGAAGGCCTTGCCCAGGACCATGTCGCCGTAGCTCTTTGATATGAATTCTCCCAGTGAGATTGATACGACATCGACTCCAATATCGACGGCCATATCCATGGCTTCAGCTATATGTTCCCAGCTACCAGTACCATCCTCTCCCTGGGTTTTCAACGACACCAAACGTACATTGGACGCCATTCCGGCCATATCGTTGCTATTGTTCTTCCTGGCCGCGATAATTCTGGCACACGCCTGACCATGCTGATTAGCCGATGTTAAGTTTGAGGAGTCGTCCACGAAATTCCAGCCACCATCGATGGATCCACCGCTCTTCTTACGGAAGACGCCGCGATAAGGAGCGATCTCAGGATCGCTGAAGTTGAGGCCGTTATCCATAACAGCCACGGCGACGGTTCGCCTCGCGTAGGGCGCAGATAGTCTCCATACGTCTTGCATGTTCATCCGCTTGAATGCCTTTTGCAAGGAAGCATTCGGATCATTCACGCCGAGATCGTTACTGGTGTCCTCTTCCTTGATGGCGAAATTAGGAGAGCATTCACAGTCCAGACCGGAGAGTT